TAAAGAATAGGAAGAAACATAATAAAAGAGATTACCAAGCAACTGCACTCATCTTAGTCGTATGAGAGTCTCTAACGGAAAGGGCAGTGTCCTTAAAGTGAGGAGCTCTATGTGACCCAAAACAGGTTCCGTACCCTATCTTTGTCTCGGTTTCCCTGTTTGTAAACTAGAAATAATAACTGTTTCATAGTCATTTGGAGAATCAGTGAGCTAAGACATGAATGTACATTAAAAATAAAAGAGGAAACTATACATGAAATAGTCCAGTTTTTTCCCCAAAACTCTTTCCAGTTATTTTTCAAATCTTCCTTTCACCTCTTGAGGGAATTAAAGTGGAAGCAAGGACAGCAGAGGTGAAGGAGGATGGCTTTGCGTCCACGACACAGGATTATGGTAGAAAGCGAACCAGCATCTGTAATGAGAAACCCTGGATTTTCCACAGCAATTAGGTAGCTGTATGGTTTTGAACCATAACATACCTCTGTGTGCATTATCTGTAAAATATAGGCAATTCAGATAAAGAAAAAAGAGAAACCATCATTTCAAAGAATTTGTTTTAAAGAAAAAACAGAAAATTCAATGTCATAACATACCTCTGTGTGCGTTACCTGTAAAATATAGGCAATTCAGATAAAGAAAAAAAGAGAAACCATCATTTAAAAGAATTTGTTTTAAAGAAAAAACAGAAAATTCAATGAGTTGTTTTGAAAGGATTTACTTTAAAGCTCTAGTTATGCACTCTGTGGAAATGAGGGTCTGAAGAACTGTGCCAAGTCATAAATAGTGAGAGACTCCGTGTCCTGCGTTTACCACAGACACAGCATAGCTTACTCTAAGCAAATGACAGATGAGTAGAAAGTACATAGACATTCTGGCAACCGTGACATCCTGTTATAAAGCAGCAGCCACAAGTAGCAATCAGAAGCCTAATATCAACACAAAAATCTTAATAAATGTCACAGCTTTATAACAACAAGAAAGAGTTGCTGCCTTGTCAAATAAGGAAGAAGGGAAAATGGGAAAACATACATGATCAGCTCATTTGTGCAAAAGCATGGAAGAATAAATTAATGAGATTGGGAGTGTGCGGGAACCAGGGAAGAGGCAACGGAACAGGAATAGAAAGGATGAAAGTGTAGTGGTCACTTCTCTGAGTACATCTCCTTGCAGAATTCTGACTTTAGAATTATGTCAATGCTTTATGTGCTCAAAAAATAAGCCAAGTATTACAATATCTTTAAATGGGTGTCAGCAAACGTGATCATAGCAAAACAAAAAGTGCTGCCACCCCAGGTGAGCCAGGTCCCCCTGGACCAGCCCCAGGGTATCCTGGGGACAATCCCCAGCCAAACAAGGCAGATTCATTTATCCAAAAACCCAAACTGGACACCTAGGAGGCGCTGGTTACTAGCCCCTGGGGACACAGCTCTGACAACAGACCCAGGGTCCCCAGCCAGTCGGATGGGACCCTGCACTCAAGTTACAGACCTTAGAGACCCTTGTTTCCTGCAAGTTCCCAGGACTCAAGGGCCTGTTGTGTATGCAGTTTTGCAGGAGAAATCTTTACGTTTTAGGCAAGTCTGAAAGAAATGGAGGAGGGAGGACTTCTGTTAACCACAGATGGGAAGAGTTTCAAAAAATATTGTGCACAAATTCCATATGATTGTGCAAGTATCACACTGCATGGGAATAATTTAAAATCCGTCTCCTGCGCAAGAATGGGGTAAGAGGAAAGGGCTGAGGCCCCTCACTTCCTCCATGTTCGGGCACTCGAAACACTGTTTGTGGACCTAGAACTGGTTTAAGCGTGTGGCTGTGTGAGCTGAGTGGAGTTAAGCAGGCCCATCTCCATCTCATTTTAAGAACGGAGAGAGGACACCTCCACTCATGAACAGGAAATGAACACCCCCCCCACACACACACACACACCTGACACCACACAGTCCGGGCTGCGCCACCTCCTGCCTGAGAACCCCGGGACTCCCCAGCTTTTCTGCTTGAACGCCCAGCCTAGCTTCTTCTGGCTCCCCCTGGGCCCTGGAGCTTCGGCAAATCGCTCGGGCTCACCTTACAGCAGCGGGGCAGTCCCGGGGAAGGGGCGAGATCAGCGGCATTGGTCCCCCTCTCCCGGGGGCGCTCTCAGTGCGCCCTTGCGCTGAAAGGGGAGGAAAATTGTGTGTTGGGGATGGGAGCAGGGAGGAGGACTCCAGGAGGGCCAGTCCCAGGCCGAGGAAAGCGCTGGGAGACCAGACCCCAGTGCAGCTTCGGGTTGCCAGTTTGTGTGGCCTCTCTTCCTGTAGGGTTGGGCGAGTGGGAATTGAGCACCTCTCTCCAGGTGTGCCCCCACTCCAGGTGTGCCCCCTCTCCAGGTGTGCCCCCACTCCAGGTGTGCCCCCTCTCCAGATGTGCCCCCACTCCAGGTGTGCCTCCTCTCCAGGTGTGCCCCCCCACCCCTTGCCCCAGGGCCTGAGCCCAGACCGCCCTTTGCCTAACAGAGACCCGCGTTTGGCTAGAAAGTCTTTTTCGTCCAAAACCTCATTGGATTCTTGCAGCAAGACAGAAGAGAAAGGCAGGGCCGGGGACCTGGGCTCAGGATTTGAACTTAGGGCTTCTGATGCCAAGTCTCTCCCAAGGTGTCTTCCTTCTGCGACTTCATAAACGCGGTAGAATTCCACCCCAGAGTGGGGCGCTGGCTGTGTTCGCAGCTTATGTTCAATCTGGGGTCGCCCACAGCCCCAGCGTGGAAGGTGAGGACCAAGCTGAGCTGCTGGTGCAGAAAGGCCTGGCACCAGCTCGCCTGTTCCTGGTCCTCTGCGAGGAAATGCCCTGAGTTCGTATTTTCTCCCCGTGAGGGGTGGTGGTAGTAAATACCCACCTACCAGACCTTTGCCTGAAACTCTGCGAGGAGGAGGAGAATATCTTATTTTATTTTTTATTTTAATTTTTTGGAAATCCTGGGATGTCTTTTGAGCATTAAAGCATCTGATTAATTAATGCTTGTTTTACATATTTATCCCGAGGAAATAATCCGAACTGTTGACAAGGATAAAATCACAAAGATGCTCCCTGAGCCTTACAGTGTCAAAAAAAAGTTAGATATAGTAGATATAATGTAACAGCATAGACACAGTATATTATGGTTCAACCATAACATGGACTATTATACAGTATTGCCATTTTAAGATATATGTGTGAAAACTCTAATAAAGGTCTGGACAAGCTTATGCTGTAAATTTAAAATTTACAAACTCACATGTACCCATATATGCAAAAATATAAGAAGAAGTGCACTGAAACGTTAGCTCTGGACAGACCATTGTTTTCTTTCCAACTTTTCCTTATTTTCCAAAGTGTGCATGACTTCTATCATCAGAAACAAATTAAATAAATACATGGGTCATCGCAAGATTTCGACATCTCTGAAGACAAAATGATATCCCTTTCACAAAAAAAGGAGGGATACTGTTTGGGCAAAACCAGAGTCTGGGCCACCCTGACCTTACTGAGCTGGACAACCTCGGGAGTCGCTTAACCTCTCTGATCATGATTCCTCGATGGAAAAAGAAAAAGAAGCTGGAACTCGGGAAATAGCTTTGATGTAAAGATTAAATGACGCGATGCACAAGAAATCATTGCTTGGCTAAGCCATCCAATTTGCCGAAATTTCATGTAAAATTTTTTGAGAATTTTGCACCCACCAGCCTGGGCAGATGAGCCCAGCTTATCTGAATTTCAGTAAATAATAACACCCATTCTCGCATTTGCCTCAAAGGCTTATTTTAAAAACATTGGATCTAAAATCCCCAAAAGAACCCTAGTGAGATCTCATTTTTATTTTAAAATATTTTTAAACGACTTAGATTGTGCTAACTGAACCATGTAGCCTAAGAAATTACAGCAGTGGACACTTCTTGAAGGTCTCATACGGTTATCACAACCATCCTCTGATGGGCATATTGTTATCTCCAGTTTTAACTAGTCAAAGCTTAGAGAGAAATTCTTTGCCCAAAGCCCACAACTCATACATCCGGAGCAAGGCCAGACTAGTTGGCTCCACCTCGGCTGTGATGACCACTGCACCACACGGCCTCCTTTACCGGGTAGCTAACGCTCATCAAAACTCCCCAACCCTGGAGGGCGCCGCCTTCACAGTCACCCGCGCACCAAGGGATTTTAGGGAGAATGTGGGGGGAGGGGACGCAGCTAGGGACGTGGAGGGCTAGGTGAGTCCCACCTCTCCTCCTCCCCACCCACTGGCCGAGCCTGCTAAGAGCCTGGGGATCCCCCCCCCAAAAAGCTCCCTTGCCCTTTCTTGGCTCCGGGGTTGACATGATCCACCTGTAAAGTGGCGGATCCGGCTCTAAGCGAGGCATTTCCACCTCCGTCTAGGCCCGGTGGTCAAGACTCGCTCCTCCCGCGTCCAACCTCTGCTCCCGGGAAGGAGCCCCCGCCGCCGGCCCCACCTTGCGCCCACGAAGACTCCCGAGGGTCCCTCCAGCCGCGGTGGCCAGCGGTCCCCACCCGAGCTCCTCTGCCACGGGAGTGGAGAGTTAGGCTAGTGCCGGGCCGGAAGGACCAGCTCGGGTTGCCAAGCAAGGGCTCCATCCCCCATCCCTGCACGTCCTCTAGGAACGTCCCCGCGGACCCCGGGTTGACCTCCGAGGTTCGCGCCGGTACCGTATTTACCGAGATTCGAGCCTCGCGCAGCACCATCTCTTCCGCTCTCCTGGCCTCTGAGAACCATCAATATGGACCAAGCCTCCCCAGAAAGCGGCTGGGCTTGCAGAGGAATTAGAGGGGCGCCGGGGACAGCGCTGGGGGTGGGGGTGGGGAAGGTGCTGCTGGGTGA